CCAAGAGTGAGCACCATATTCAGTGCAACATGAGACTATTGGGCATAAAAACAGTGGTCAGGGAATAGGATCATATTGATGAAGTAAAAGAATTCCATTCAAATAACAATGCTGAGTAGGGAAAGCACCTTTCCAAGGAAAGAGATACTAGGAAAAACATTCTAGAGTTGATATACCATTGCCATCAGTAATAGAAACAGAAACCACCAGTTTGTTTAAACATAATAAATTTGTACAAGTGATACAAGGAGAGATCAAAGACAGGGGCTCATGCATTAACCCTGGGGGCTAAGTAATTGCAGTAAGAAACAACATCCTAGGCTACACAGAAACAAGAGACTGATACTAATGCTGAAACTGATAAAGATGCTGGTACTGATGTCCAGAGGCCTGGGCCTCAAGCAGAAAGTGATGCCTCACAGGCCTCTGTTGAGGGAGTTGGAGCGACAGAGATGCACCTCCTCCCAGACCCTACGTGAGGAGCACAGGATGCAGAGACCTCAAATTGTCCCTTCCTCCTCACTCACAGTTTTCATCCAGTGCCTCGTATCTTGGCTGCACCTAGTAGGCAGGCAGGGGGAAGGAGGAATGTGTGTAGTGCTGAGCTGAAATTTCCACAGCGGTGGAGAGCAGCAGGAGGAACAGAACAGACCTTAGAGCAAACAGTCCAAGACCAGCAACGATAATTTCTCCAGACACTGGTGTTAAAGAGATAAAGGGATCATATTAATTTAAAAATGACTGGAAAAGACTCATGAGCTCATTTTAGCTATGTTAAATGTTTCATCACTCATACCTGAAATGGAAAATCACTTCGAATATCTACCTAAGATCAGAAACCTTTGTCCTAACCTCACTCTGGGACTCCAGAGTTACGGTTCAGAGCTATACCGCTCAAACCTTGCTCTGTGAGAAAGCTTGCACATTTTTCCTATCAAGACCTTTGCATCAATCCATTAACATAATCCTTTTATTGAGATCTTGTCTGTATGTTCTTTCCATCAGGTGGAAAAACACAACATTCTCTGCAAACACCTTTACTATTTTGACCGTACATAATGGTCAATAATGGATATTGATTATCCTATGAAATGATAAAGAAATGTTACACTTATGTATTCAGCCAATCATTCATCTATTTACTCATTCTTTCAATCATCATATATCCTGGGTTTTATTATGCTTTAACGCGGGGAGGAGCTAAGATGGTGGAGGAATAGGACGGGGAGACCCCTCTCTCCCCTACAAATTCATCGAAAGAACATTTGAACACTGAGCAAACTCCACAAAACAACTTCTGATCGCTAGCAGAGGACATTAGGCGCCCAGAAAAGCAGCCTATTATGCTTTAACGTTATCTTATTTGCTGCTTAGGATTGAGTAATGCACAATCATATTCCCAGACAAGAAAGACTAGATTGAAATCACACTTAAAGGACTATTTGGTTTCTACTCTGAGTCTTCATCACTATCCAGATATAGATATGTGTGTGTGTGTGTGTGTGTGTGTGTATACATATATATGTACACACATACACAACATTTATTACTACCTAGCAACTTAGCAGCAGCAACTACCTAAACATTGCCATAATATTATGTAAGGTCCATACAGGGTGTAATCTGCATGAAAACAATATCTTTGCCTTTCTCTCTTCAGATAATCCAGAACAATGGCAGGTTGGGCATAAGAATTTAGCAAACAGTGTAAATAATTAGAACTAAATATTCCTTAATAAGTATTAGAACAAATGTATGAATAAATTGTTAACTACTTTGAAAGTTTTTTTCTTTTTTTTAAATGATCAATACGAGTTGGTTTTGTTATTTTTTATTGAAAGGAAATGAGAACGGTATTTCACAGAGATATCTGTACTCTCATGTTTATTGCACTATTAATCACAACAGCCAAGATATAAAAAGAACCTAAACACCAATCAATAGATGAATGAACAAAAAAGAAGTAATGCATGTACACAACAGAATGTTATTCAGTCATGAGGAAAGGGGATATTCTGCCATTTGCGACAATACAAATGAGCACATTATACTAAGTGAGATGTCAGACTAAGAAAGACAAGTACTGTATGATGTCACTTATATGACTTGATTAAAAATGTCAAGACTTCTTTTTGTTCTTCAATTTGGGATGTCTCTGGCCTAAGGGAATAGAACATTTTGCTTAATTCAAGTTCTCAATGGGAAAAGATATACAGGTATTTCAATAGAATAATTTGCTTTTCCACTAAACCCTACCATTTATTGGCCACATACTCTTTACTAAATGGTTTCTTCCTTAAAAGGTAAAGTCAGTTCTTTCTTCTGAACACTTGAAGACACAGTTATAGTAGATAAAGTCATTTAAAATCTCCAGTGGAGATGTGTTAACATCCTTGCAGAGGCACAGAGATTGTGATACACAGAGGAGGTCGCAGAGGAGGAGACTGTGCCAGAAAAGTTTCTTTTATTCTGCTAGCCTTTAAATCAACTTAGAGCTCTTAATCTAGTGTGTGAAATCCAAATTATCTATTCCTTCAGGCCTTTGGAGTGTTCATGGAATTCTGGCAATTGATAACCATCATGCATGTGTCAGCATTTTGTGTTTCCAGCAGATTCTTATGCAGTATACTCTGTGCCTAGACATACTCCATGAAGATGTGCAGAAAAGTAGGTAATGGTTTCTGTCCTCAGATGAACTTTACTTTCATTTGAAAACAAACACTAGACAAAATTTGCTGCATTGCACCTGGGTCAGGACTGCATTTGTTACCAGATCCCACGTGCCTCTACTTTAACAGGGACACTGCGAAGTCTTTTCAGGATCTGGTATCACTGCAAATTTGGATTCTAATTCCAAGAGTCCTCAGAACATTCAGGCATTCCCATTCCCTAGCACACAGGTACCAAGTAAATTTCCAGAGGTCCCCTAGAAGGGGAATGGGAAAATCATTATCATATAACCTTGTTCTAGAGTTGCAGGATCGTTTCTCTTGAGATCCTGCTCTCCTCTCCAGGTGATAAGTTCATTATCTGAAATTGGTTTAGATAAAGGCTGTAGACTTTCTTTTCATCGAGGCTACTCTCAGCCTCCTGATAAACATCCTTGATTCCATTTGATTGCTTCTTCCACATCCATTTTGACTCTAGTCATCCTGTTCTATTTGCCGTATTCAGAATTTCCTCTGGTCAGGTCCTACTGGCTTCCACTCCAGCCATGCTGTGGACTGAACGCTAGTGTTCTCCAAAATTCATTTGCAGAAACCCCACCTCCCAATGTCCCAATGTGCTTGGAAGTGGGGCTTTGGGGAGGAAATTAGGTAATGAGTGTGGGGCCTTTATGAGTCTGATTAATGCCCTTATAACAAAGAAACATGAGGCATTCTTTCTCTCACTCTTCCAAAACTGTGAGGACACTATAGGCAAGTTGCCATCTGTGAAGCTGCAAGAAGACACTTAAAAACAGCCCAGCAGTGCTGACACACGCTTTTGGACTTACAGCCTCCAGAACTGGGAGAAATAAACATTTGTAGTCTAAGCCATCCAGTCTGTGTTAATTTGTTATAGAGCCTGAGCTAAGACAAACCATGATTCTCATCACTGTCATTGTGGGTACTTGACTTTTGATGTTTAAATGCCAACACCTGGCTTCCATGTATCAGCATCTAACAGCCCCAGTACTGTCAGGGCATCCAGTTCTTCATGGAACATCCCTCCTTCTACTCTTGCCTGCAGCAGAGAGCCACCAGTGAACTTTCAAGCATGATGGGATTCCTCTCACCAGGGCATATTTTTAATGTTTAGTAATTTTCTTCCAACATCTTACAAGTGTACTTCATAGGAAGTAAAGGCAAAGAGTCAGACACAACTTGGTGTGTCCGACTACCACTAAAGTTTCCTCTAGCTGAGATATCAAGGGGTAACAGGAAAGTTCATACCTTATATTTGAAGCAAATGTAAGGGATTAAAAACCAAACCAAGATGAAAACAAAACTAGGATGCAAATTCTATGCCTTCTAGTGTTTTGCTCCAACTCATTGAACAGGCTAATATTTCTAGAAACAATGAACAATTTTATCATCTAACAGTCAATTTCAAATTCCATTTATTAACATTTTTAGTATTATACTTTATGCTTTCTTTGTTATTTGAGAAATGACAATAAAGCTTTATAGAAATGAAAAGATAGACAACATAATGAAAAACACGTGTTTTTACTCTTAACGCCAAGCTGTCCCTCCCCAGAAGAAATCAATGATATCAGTTCTTCAAGAGACGTTCCACGTGGCCATATAAATGAGTGCACATAATAACTGCAGTTTTATGGTGAGCAGATAATGCAAACTGTTTTCTATCTCAGTTTTTTTGTTCTATAATATATCTTCAAGCTTTTTCTATATTTATGCAGATAGACTTTCACTGTCAAGTTTTTACTGACTACATAGTATTCCAGTATATGTACACGCAAAATATATATTATTAATACCAACTATATAGATAGACACAAGTAGTTTTCAGTCTTTTGCCATTAAAAGAGATGCCTCAATGGACCTCTTGTATGTTTATGTGTGTAAAGCAGTAGTAGTATTAGTTGCTCGATCATTTCCAGCTCTTTGAGACCCCATGGACTATAGGCTGCCAGGCACCTTTGTTCATGGAATTTTCCAGGCAAGAATACTGGAGTGGGTTGCCATTCCCTTCTCCAGAGAATCTTCCTGACCCAGGGATTGAACCTGGGTTTCCTGCATTGAAGGCAAATTCTTTACCATCTGAGCTAGAGGGAAGCAATATATGTGTATATGTGTGTATGTCTGTTGTGTGTGTGTGTGTGTGATTTTGCACACATATATTTCTTAGAAGTGGAGATGCTGTATCAAACTGTCTATGCATTTATACTGTTTAATGTGGGCCAGACATTGACACTTTTAGTAACCACTTTTTATATTTAAAGCCTTGCTAAATGAAAGTGAAAAGCATTCACACCAAACATAGGGCAGAGCATATACCTATATTCCATATCTCTAATTTCTTTAAAAAAAGATCTACTTTTTAAATAGGGAGCTCACGCCACTCACAATCTGACCAAGAAGTTTGCCTGGAGCACACAATACTGAAGCAATCTCTTTGCCAAATTTGTCCAAGACTAGTGCAACCCAGGAAGTATTACCATCATTAGTATTATGAATCATATTTCTCAAATGATTTATCTCTGCACTCATACTCTCAGATTTCTGTCTAAATCCTTCTTTAAGTAGAGCTTCCTGGGCCTAAAAAAAAAAAAGAGGAGAGGAATAAAAACTTTTAAATTCCCTTTTTTCTCAAGGATTACATTCTCAAACTTTAAAACTTCATCAAACCTCCTGTTTTATTCCTAAAATTGTTCTCTTTTATTCCATCATGGAAGGAGAATTTTGTAAACAGAATATCTACCAGTTTTGACCTGAACATTAAGAGAAACTGTAGTTTACAGTCTTACTACTACTCATACACCATTGGATTTAGCCCGTGAAGCTAAGCCTGACGTGAGGACAAACACATGTTCTAGGCAAAAGATGCCAGGTGTGATTGCACTAAGTCTCAGCCCCACTCAGGATGGTACAGTCACCCAAATCATGGACATCTGTTCTAAACACACCCAGATGGACAGTGAGAGAATTTCCCTTTTGCCACACAACAGCTTGGGTATCCACACCTGGAGACAATGCAGCAAGTTTAGAAGCTGTCCCTGCCCTGTGTTTTTTAAGTCTGGGCATTGCTGATAGTTCTATGTCAGCATAGATAGGGCCTTTGGGTGGTAGCAGGGTAACTGGCAGTGACTCTCATAAAGCAAACCAGTTAAATACATGTGGTTGAAATATCCATTTAACCAAGCCTCATGAGATCATTTTAAAACTCCGCAAATTTTATAATAGGGTTTATAAATACAAACCCTATTTATATTCTCTGATGGCTTGCAGAGGCCCTACGCCTCTTGAAGTCTCCAGAGTCTACTTACAGAATAGCTCTCAAAGGCTTTGGAAGGATTCAAAGACTTTGGGGTTTTAATGAATCACAAGCAGTAAACGGCAATGATGCTTCCCTCCATGGTCTCGCTGCAACCTTCGCCCATCCCTTCCTGCGGTCCCAGGGTAACGACCATCGAGCACGACTAAGGTCACAGCCTGACTTACCTTCAGCTTATGCTCCAACATCATAGTCTGCTCTCGCAGTATGTCTTCTCTTTCCCTCGCCAGCTTCTCTGTCAGCTGGGCTATGTTTTCCTGGAGGCTCCTCTGTTGCGCCGCCATCTCCTGCTGCTGCTCTTGCAGTTTCTGTCTTAGCAGCTCCCGTTCCTTCTCAGCTGTCTCATTCCTGGCCCGCTCCTCTGCCCCAGGAAGAAAATAAGGTAAGGATTGATCTCTACCTTCCTGACCTCAGGGATAAAATACAGTTGGAAAGGGAGGTGGGAAATCTCTGAATTCCTTGCCTTGTCCATATAACCAAGAGCACATTTCAGAATGTGATGGGAGTCTGGCTGATGTCTAACCCCATTGTGATTGCACAATTCCTTTTACTGTTTTCGGATGTAGCAGAGTTGTTCCACAGACAGAGAGGAAGCTCCTTGTACCAGGTTTTAGTCTCACACCTGTCAAAGGGCACTGCCCAAGTCTACCCATTCCCCTGTGAGTCAAGCCCTACCCCGTACCTGCTACAGCCTTCTCCCCATCAGTGAGGGCTTTATCTGCCTGCAGGATGGATTTCTCAACTGCCACCTGTGACTGCAGAAAGCTCTGGAAGACCTCATTTTCCTGAGGAACCAAGAAGGAACACAGAACTTAGATTTCCACTGGGGAGATTAGTGCAAAAACAATCACATCCACATAATTTTTCTTCATGTTTAAAACTCCACAGTAGTTCCCTACAAGTCTAAGCTCCTTAGAGTGACCTGTCTTCCTCCCATCTCCCTCCCAGTGCTACTTCCTTCTAGCCATTCCAGACTCCAGCCAGTCAGAACTATCTTCAGTTCTACAAACCTAAGATCTCTGGAACTTTTGTATATTTGTCTTCCCAGTGTGAAATATTGCCTGTAAACTGTGCTGCTGTTTTCCTCTGCTACTTGCGGGCTAAAACTTAAGGCAACTTTGTTTAACCTGCTAAGCCTCTCAGTTCAGATCTTTAAGATGATGACAAAAAGCATAGATGCATCTTAATGTCATTTGAAGGATTAAAGAGTCTACGGAAAGATCCAGGAATCCTATTCCTGGGCATATACTCCAGGAAAACCAAAATTTGGAAAGACACATGTACCCCAATGTTCATTGCAGCATTATTTACAATAACCAGGCATGGAGGCAACCTAAATGTCCATCAACAGAGGAATAGATAAAAAAGATGTGGTATATACATAAATGGAATATCACTCAGCCATAAAAAAGAACAAATTAATGTCATTTGCAGCAATATGGATGAACCTAGAGACTATCAAACTGTGTGAAGTAAGTTAGACACAGAAAGCAAATATCATACGATATCGCTTACATGTGGAGCCTAACAAAAAGGTACAAATGTAGTTATTAATAAATTTTATATAGTGAATCTTAAGACCTAAAACTTTCATGATATTCCCATGCTCTCTCATTACCCACACTTGGTGTTTTGCTCTCAGATTTTCAAGAGACCCCTGCACTCTATTCTGTAGGCTCCCCATGCCCCCCTTGCTCCTCACCTTCACTCCTTTCCTGGGCACTTGGCGATAGTCCTGTTGTAATCTTTCCATTGCTTTCCTGTAGAGTTTGTGCCCTCCAGGAACAGAGAAAGCACCTGCTGATATACTTTCCATTAGGGCCTTGGAAAGCTTATCAAGTTTAGCCTGGCAGTATTTGATAGATGCCTCTTCATTCTGCAGCACGAAACCCTCCTTCTTACTCTTTATGGCTTCCTGCAAGGGAAATATAGAGAGATGTCACCAGAAAAATGAAAAAGAGGAGATAAAATTTCAAAGAATCCAGTAGAAGGATTGGTCTAACTGCTGTCCTTATGAGAAAAGCATTTTTTTTAATCAAATAAAAAAAGCAATCACAAGACCTGATCTATCACAACCCTGAAAACTCTCTGATAGAGCACAGGAAATTTTCTCAGCCTCCCTTCAGGTTCTTCATCTGAAATGTTGGAGCTGCATTACCTCTTCTCTGTGGTTCTTTGCAGCTGCAACATTCAGTGATTCTATTTTCCATGATATAGCAAGGCGCAACCTAAGTTGAAAATGGCTTGGAATAAGAGTCTGATTAGAAAAATTTTAGTTCCTGATCATAAGAGTGTGTTCAAAGAAAAATCAACTTAAGAATGACTTGAGTGTGTGCTCTGGACAGCACTGGAATCTGCAGAAGTATTTACTTCAAAAGGACATCTATACTGGTTTTACAGCAGAGATGAAAGCCTTTTCCAGATAAACGTCCCAAGATTTGGTAGAAAAAAGAAGAAAATGCAGTCCTTTGAAACTCTACCCCTCGTGTGAACACAGACTACTTCATCCTTGAGTTAGGGCTGAGCCATGGGGACATTAAGGGCACCGCTAGGCTTCATTATTCAAGGGGGTGGGGGAAATGGTAAATACAAAGACAAATTACCACGAGACTCCTCTGGAATTCCTGGTCTTTGTCCTTGAAGGAGCTCTCCATGAAGATGGCAATGGCTTCCTTCTCACAGGCCGCGTGCACCTCCAGCAGCTCCTGGAGCGTCTCTGTGGGGAGACTCAGTCGCTGGGCCATCTGCTCACTGTAGTGGTCAGCTGCCTTCTGCACAGCTGCTGAGTTCTCCAGCTGGGCCAGAGTTGTCACTGCGTTCTCCAAACAGGGTACAGCTCCGGTATTGATGGTATCCACATAGGTCACAACCAGAGTCCTCAGTCCTGAATAAGTCAGGACATTTAAGGGATAAATATTAAGTTATCAATAAATAGGCACCAAGATTCTGAGACTTCATTTTTAAAGACACACATGCTCACACACACACACACACACACACACACACTGTACCCCCTTCTACTATCACTGCCTTCATTTTCTTACTATTTTTATGGTTTTCAAGCCCCCAGGGCAGAAAAAATTGAAAAATCTACCTCTATGTAACAAACTAGGAGGCATCTGAAATATTAAAAGCAAAATAGATTGCATAGGTATTAAGATGAGACAGGGTATATCAGATTATATTTACTCACAATTCTGAGGCTTTGAATGGATTTTTCAGTGATTTATGGACTAGTATTTATTTTTGGTCCTCTCTAATCTTCCGAAAAATTAAAAGACACTTGAAATTAAAAGATGCTTGCTCCTTGGAAGATAAGCTATGACCAACATAGACAGCATATTAAAAAGCAGAGACATTACTTTGCCAACAAAGATCTGTCTAGTCAAAGCTATGGTTTTTCCAGTAGTCATATATGAATGTGAGAGTTGGACCATAAAGAAAACCGAGTGCCAAAGAACTGATGCTTTTGAACTGTGGTGTTGGAGAAGACTCTTGAGAGTCCCTTGGACCTCAAGGAGATCAAACTAATCAATCCTAAAGGAAATTAGTCCTGAATATTCACTGGAAGGACTGATACTGAAGCTGAAGCTCCAATACTTTGGCCACCTGATGGAAAGAACTGACTCATTTGAAAAGACCCTGATGCTGGGAAAGATAGAAGGCAGGAAGAGAAGGGAATGACAGAGGATGAGATGGTTGGATGGCATTACCGACTCAATGGACATAGTTTGAGCAAACTCCAGGAGTTGGTGATAGACAGGGAAGCCTGGTATGCTGCAGTCCATGGGGTAGCAAAGAGTCAGACATGACTGAGCGATTGAGCTGAACTGAACTGAATCTTCCAAAATATCTTTTGTATTCTACTTGCAAAGAACACTTTCTATATAGGACTTCAGAAAATGGAAGATTCCGTTTTTATACCCTGATAGTGAGTTTTTTCTCAGTAGAGGAATTTTTCAGATAAGTGGAAGCCACAGATTCCAGTGACAGAACTTGCCATTTAAGGAAGGGATTTGTAAATTCCCCAAAGTAAGATAATTATGAAGCATACACATTTCTTCATGGAATATGAGTGTCTGTAAAACCCAAATTCCATATAGAATCAAACAAAAATACTGGAAAACACATTATATAAAATATTCAGCATGCATCAACCCCCATGGAATCAGGAAAAAGAGACTCACGATTCCCAGTGACTGTGATCCCCTCTTTGAGGGTCTTGACTTTTGCATTGGTGAAGATGTAAGAACAGAAATTCTTTGTTTGTCTCAGGAATTTAGGATCCAGTTGGTCTTCAGACACATTCTCAATATTGTATAGGAGCTCTTTGTTATTTGTTGGCCAGTCAAACACAAAACACTTCCGTGTTGGAAAGAAATGCCTTATACACTCTCTGGGTAGATTGGATGTTCTGGCTTTGGGATTCCTGCCTGAAGGACAGAAAAACAGATTAGAGTGGGAAGACTTTTGAAACAAGGGAGCTCATGGTGTTCAGGACAGGGATTTGAGTTTCTTTGCTGTCTTCTATGCTAATAACTTACTTAACATAAATACTCAGCACTTCCTTGCACATAAAACTTACACCATTGATATAACTCTGGAGAAAAATTTAGGGAGACATCTGATTCAGTAAAAGAAGCCTAAAACTGATGTCTGCAGACCTGCATGCTATAGAGCCTTTGTCTCTTAGATTTTTATTGAACTAACGGGTAAAAGGATGAAAGTTTAAATGTAAATTTTAGCTCTACTTAGTATCATGTAGGAATTGAGCTGTGAGACCAAGAAGAAGAGCCATAAACAAGGATTAAGGGACAATATTTGAAATATTGGGAATGACACTGATTATTTCGGGGAAACGATTTTGATGCTAAAAAATAGTTGGTACAGAGTTAGCTAATTTTTAGAAAAAATCTCTGAAGGGTAAATGTAACTAAAATGCAATTTTAAGATATTACCACTAATCAACTTTGACAAAAGCTATTATATTTGATCTGATAGTCGGCCTCTTCTGACTAGACAATTTCTCAATAGATAATTTGAGAAAGCATAAATAGAAAAATTAAAGCAAGAATGAGTAAATGAGAATTGATATCTCTCTCAAGGTTTCATCAGATATATCCACTGTAAATGTAGCCCATTAAAATAAGTCATTAATTTGTAATTAAAGCACGGGTAAGTATATGAAAATTAGGAGAAAGCTGGGATGAAGAAGGTAAAATGAATGTTCTAAAAATTATCAAAAATATTGAAAAGGCATAAATTGAAAAGACACATACTTCATCAGGTTTACTTAGAACATTGAGTCATTTTTTACATGATATTCCCAGGTGATACTAGTGGTAAAGAACATGCCTGCCAATGCAGGACACATAAGAGATGTGGGTTTGATCCCTGGGTCAGGAAGATCCCCTGGAGGAGGACATGGTAACCCACTCCAGAATTCTTCCCTGGACAATCCCATGGGCAGAGGAGCCTGGAGGGCTACAGTTCATAGAGTCACAGAGTCAGACACTACTGAAACAACTTAGCCGAGCACGTAACTATACAGGATTAGAAAGATCCCTCTTTGAGAATAAAATCTACCTATGTGAAATGCACTTTTTTTTAAATTAGATAGATGTTTCATTATAATTTCATGCCTAACAAGTATCTGGTCAGTTGTTTTCCTCAACAAAGAAAAGCAGAAGCCAAAATAGGGAACACAAGCATCCAGTCTTTAGAAAGCTTTAGCACCCATTGTAATCTGGATGCTAATTTACAAATGGTATAAAAAACAAACTGGTTTTGAATAATTCCACTTTACCTTACACTTTACTTTTCTTAAGTGAACTTCAATTCCAGTGGCTACAGCTTTGCAACCCACTTTCCAGATTCCTACAAACTTTAATCTAGTCTCAAGTACAAATGCAACCCTGTAGTGGGAATTCCTAATAATGTACTTTCACAGCCTTGAAAAAATCCGCAGAAATAGCACCTGGAAAAACAGCATATATTAAGACACTGTGTTAATGATTATCTTTCATGTTTTTCTTAAGAGTAATCTCCTTGTTACAAACCCCAAGGCCAGACCCAGAAGGGAATATGACTGGCATCATGAAAGCATAGACCTTAGAAACACTGGGAAGGTGTCAGGCATGAACACTGCCTACGCACTTGCTGATTGTTCCCAAGACTAGTCCAAAAGGAAACTGCCTGGGGTAAAAACAAGGAGATCTGGACTATGTCAGTGTAGTGTCTTGGGAAAGATAAGATCAAAAATAGTCTTGTAGTCTGCAATTAGGAATAAAAGCTGGACTCAGAGTGGACTCTGCACCTCAGTCCAATAGAGGTTGCATGTCCCCTGATTCATTGCACTAGATTTCGTGTTCTGTTTTCATTCTTGTTGCTCACTCCCAGACCATTAGGACAACAATTGGCGTCTAATGTGGGACTGGAGTGAAAGACTTCNTATGCAGATGACACCACCCTTATGGCAGAAAGTGAAGAAGAACTAAAGAGGCTCTTGATGAAAGTGAAAGAGGAGAGTGAAAAAGTTGGCTTAAAGCTCAACATTTAGAGAACTAAGATCATGGCATCTGGTCCCATCACTTCATGGCAAGTAGATGGGGAAATGGTGGAAACAGTGGCTGACTTTATTTTGGGGGGCTCCAAAATCACTGCAGATGGTGACTGCAGCTACAAAATAAAAAGACACTTGCTCCTTGGAAGGAAAGTTATGACCAACCTAGATAGCATATTAAAAAGCTGAGACTTTACTTTGCCAACAATGGTCTGTCTAGCCAAGGCTATGGTTTTTCCAGTAGTCATTTATGGGTGTGAGAGGTGGACTCTAAAGAAAGCTGAGCACCGAAGAATTGATGCTTTTGAACTATGGTGTTAGAGAAGACTCTTGAGAGTCCCTTGGACTGCAAGGAGATCCAACCTGTCAATCCTAAAGGAAATCAGTCCTGAATATTCATTGGAAGGACTGATCCTGAAGCTGAAACTCCAATACTTTGGCCACCTGATGGGAGGAGCTGACTCATTTGAAAAGACCGTGATTCTAGGAAAGATGGAGGGCAGGAGGAGAAGGGGATGACAGTGGATGAGATGGTTGGATGGCATCACCAACTCAATGGACATGAGTTTGAGTAAACTGTGGGAGTTGGTGATGGACAGGGAGGCCTGGTGTGCTGCAGTCCATGGGATCTCAAAGAGTCAGACAAGACTGAGCAACTGAACTAACTGAAAATGGGAAATGTTAGAGTGTAGAACACTATCATCCATATATTTGTTTATTAAGACAGCTCTTAAAAGTGGGACGAGCTTCTATTAGTGAAGGGGGATTATTAGAATTGTTGCTAGCAGTGGATAAATATTGCTGCTGGTTCCCATCAATAGGGACCTTGGATTTAAAAGTCTGGGAAAATGTTGGAGCTAAGTTTAAAAAAGAACATGCAAAAGGAACTCCTCTCCCTATTTCTATTTGGAGTATGTGGGCATTAAGTCAGTACTGGAACCTTTGCAGACTTCTGATTCTTTTGATGAAAATGATGATAATTCTCTTGAAAAACCTCAAAGTTCAGAGTATGTGGAGTCTGAGGGAAAGGGCAAGCCATCTGCAAAACCTGCTCCTTCGGCTCCCAAGGAAGATGATGAGGGATTTTTTTCCTGTCTCTTCCCCCTTGTCCTCCAAATCAATATAGTGAGGACAGTCACCAAATTTTGTTCAATCAGTGTTATATACCAGGATTTGGACTGGGCAAAAATCAACAAGGAAGAATTTATCCTTTGACTACTCAAGGTTTCAAACCATCCTCTTTTCACTAGTGGCTACTGCTCCTATTAATCTTCCTCCACCCACATCTCTTAATTGGAAAACAGATCAACCTATGTGGATAGAGCAGTGGCCCCTAAAACAAACAAACAAACAAAAAATGGAGGCTTTACATGAATTAGTTAATGAACAACTTAACAAGAGACATATTATTGAGTCCTTTAGCCCTTGGAATTCTCCAGTGTTCATTACACAAAAGAAGTCTGGTAAATGGAGAATGCTTACTGATCTGAGAGCTGTTAATGCTGTTATTGTTCCAATGGGTGCTTTGCAGCCTGGTCTACCTAATCCTAGTAGAATTCTAAGAAATTTGCATTTGTTTGCTATTGATCTCAGAGATTGTTTTTTCACTATTCTTTTACATCCTGATGGTAAACCTGGATTTGCCTTTTCAGCTCCTTCCATTAATTTAAAGAAGCCACATAAAAGATTCCAATGGACTGTATTACCTCAAGATATGCTTAACAGTCCCACTATTTGTCAAAATTTTGTAGCCAAGGCTTTACATCCAGTGCGACAGCAATTCCCTCATGTATATATTATTCATTATATGGATGATATACTATGTGCCTTACCTGAAATTTATAGCCTACAGGAATGTTTTTAAAGCTAAAGGAATGCTTGGAATGTGCTGGCTTCTATATAGTTCCTGATGAATTACAATACACTGAACCTTTTCAGTACTCAGGAAATAAAGTCACCCATACTGCAATCACACCAAAAAATGCAGATACGCAGAGACTCAATTAAAATTTTAAATGACTTACAAAAATTACTAGGAGATGTTAACTGGATTCGGCCCAAGTTAGGGATCCAACTTATTCTTTATTCCATTTATTCTATTAAGAGAAAATCCAGAGCTTAATAGCTCCCAAAAACAAATTCCTGAGGCTGAGAAAAAACTAGCAATTATAGAATAAGCTGTACAAAACTGCCAAATAGACAGAATAGACCCTTTAGAGCCTCTTCAGTTGTTTGTCTTCCCTACCCCTCATTCCCCTACTGGGTTGACTATGCAAACTCCTTTAATAGTTGAATGGATAGTCTTAGCTAATTCACAAACAAAATCTATTATCCTTCACTTAGATATGGTAGCAAATATCAGTCTAAAAGGAAGAGAGTGTTCAACAGCTTCCTGGACATGATCCCTGCCTTATTTGCACTACACCAACCTCCAAGGAATTAAAACATTCTCTTCAAAATTCATTATCCATTATCTTGGCAACAAGCTTTAGCTGTCCAATATATTGGACATATTGGCAACCACTATACTTATTTGCCTATCATGCAGTTTTTAAAACAAACAAGGTGGATTTTGCCTAGAATTACTAATGTCAAGCCCATTCCCTCTGCTCCTCTCAATTTTACAGATGGCACTAACTGAGGGAAAGCAGGATATACAGGCACGTTTATGCTAGTAATTGAAACACCTGGATATTCTGCACAACAAGCAAAAATTCTAGCTATTATGCACATATCACAAAATATTCCCCAAGCAATTAATATCTTACCTGATTCTCAATATTCTGTACATGTCACTAAACATATAGAAACAGCTAGTATTAAGGATACTATCCCATCCACATGGTATACACTTTTTACAAATTTACAACAGGTGATTAGACACTGACAGTTTCCATTCTACGTTACTCATATTTGGGCTCATGCTATTTTAACAGAGGAAAATACTCAAGCCTATGCCCTTTTATTTCCAGCCTTTACAGAAGCATCAACCTTTCATGACCTGACATATTGTAATTCAAAATATTTAAAAACCAAGTTCCACATCACTTGGGCTCAAGCTAAACAGATTGTGAGGACTTGTCCTACATGTCAGACTGTTGCCATAACCATGTCTCCAACAGAAACTGGGGGAATTAATCCCCATGGCCTGAGGTCAAATCAGATCTGGCAGATGGACGTAACTCATGTTCCATCCTCTGTAAAGCTTGCTTATGTACATGTCACAGTTGATATTAACTCTAAATTTATCTGGGCAACTGCTTGCGCTGGAGAATCTACAAGACATGTTATTTCACATTTGCGTAGCTGCTTTGCTACTATGGGCCTCCCACAAAATATAAAAACAGACAATGGCCCGGCTTACACTAGTGCTGCTTTTAGGGATTTTTTAAAGCCTTGGTCTATAAAACATCATACAGGAATTCCCTATAATCCCCAAGGACAAGCTATTGTAGAGCAAGTCAACAGATCTCGTAAAGAAATGTTACAAAAATAAAAAGGGGGAGATGGAATGTCACTTCCACCATAGCAAAAATTATATAAAGCATTATTTACTTAAAATTTTTTGCATCAAGATAAAGATTTCATTGCATCGGAACAACATTTTATAAAGGAGCAAAAAGAAATTCACCCCAAACACCTGTTTGGTGGCATGATCCAGTAACATACTCATGGCATAGGGGAATCTGATAACCTGGGGAAGGGGTTTCTCTTGTGTTTCACCAGGTGATTCAGAAACACCCATTTGGATTCCCTTACGTAATCTGAAACCGTATCATGAGGGAACTCCCACGGAAGAGACACTTCACATGAGACGGAGAGCCCTCAGTCACGAGTTTCAAAACCCTGAGTCTGAAACAAATAAAGATAACAATTCCCCTCCCATCAACACATCAGAACAAGATCCCCACTTGGGGACAAATTAGAAGGTTAACACTGAAATCAGAGGAGATCTTAGAAAATGAAGGGATAGCCAGGACATGGAAACAACCTAGATGCCCACCAGCAGACGAATGGATAAGGAAGCTGTGGTACATATACACCATGGAATATTACTCAGCTGTTAAAAAGAATTCATTTGAATCAGTTCTAATGAGATGGATGAAACTGGAGCCCATTTTACAGAGTGAAGTAAGCCAGAAAGATAAAGACCATTACAGCATACTAACACATATATACGGAATTTAGAAAGATGGTAATGATAACCCTATATGCAAAACAGAAAAAGAGACACAGATGTACAGAACAGACTTTTGGACTCTGTGGGAGAAGGCGAGGGTGGGATGTTTCGAGAGAACAGCATGTATATTATCTAGGGTGAAACAGATCACCAGCCCAGGTTGGATGCATGAGACAAGTGCTTGGGCCTGGTGCACTGGGAAGACCCAGAGGGATCAGGTGGAGAGGGAGGTGGGAGGGGGGATCGGGATGGGGAATACATGTAACTCCATGGCTGATTCATGTCAATGTATGACAAAACCCACTGAAATGTTGTGAAGTAATTAGCCTCCAACTAATACAAATAAATGAAAAAAAAAAAGAAAAGAAAATGAAGGAAAAGCTGTCACTCCTAACAATCTGGGTATTGCCACTTTTGCTCTTATTACCACCGCGGTGAGTATACCCCTACCAACAGCTGAATCTAAAAGTTATACTTATTGGGCATGTATACCTAACCCCCCATTACAAAAATCTGTTGAATGGGGGGATTCTATGATCCCCGTTTATGTTAATGATTCTTCCTGGATACCAGGACCTGAAGATACATGCCTTCCTCTTTTTAAACAAGAGGAAGGGACTCCCTTCAGTGTTGCTTATGGATATGAATCCTGGTCAATTTGTGTAGCACCAGCTACAGGATGTCTTAAATTATCTGTGCAAGCCTGGCTGTCCACTAATTCTTTAAATAGCAACTATACTAAGATTTAGCTACATCTTCTCTCTGGTCTGAGTTTTGCTTATAACAACTCAGAACCCGACAATGACAGCAAATCAGACAGTCCTGCAATCCTCACAAAAGACTGTGTTGGAAGCTGCATAAAGTCTTTCACCATACTAATATTACCACTCATTTAGATCATCCAATTATATGGCATGGTAGTGGCATGTCTCCCCCCTTCCCACAATTGCATCAGGAATAGGGCAAGGAGAGATTTGGAAACTGGCTTTAAGTCTTAAAAAATTCCAAATTTGGGATGGATGTTATTCTGATAAATCTAATTATTCCTTGACATTTAATACCAGTGCAAACTGGACATTTTATATTCAGGCTTGTGTGAGAGATCCTTATGTGCTCTTGAAACGAACAATTTCTATCAGTGAAAATGTACAAGAACTTTCTTGCCAGGATTGCAAATTATATACTTGCTTAAATTCTTCACTTTATAATTCTAATCACTCATTTGTTATATGAAGAAGGAGATGGGGAATATGGCTTCCAATAAATCACACCAGACCTTGGGAAGGCTCTTCTGAAACACATCCTCTTTTAAAAGTTATAAAGAAAGTACTAGAATATTCCAAAATGTTTACTTATGGCAGCTATTATGGGACTTATTGCCATAGCCACGACAGCAGTAATGGCCAGGGTGGCACTGCATCAAACTATATAAACAACTACATTTGTACAGCAGTGGCACCAAAATGCAAGTTCTGCCTGGGGAAGTCAAACCCACATAGACCAAGAAATCAATGAATGATTGATTGATTTAGAAAATGCAGTTCTCCAACTAGGGGACTAAGTACAAAATTTTAAATTACAAACTCATCTTAAGTGTGATTGGAATATCTCTTCATTTTGTGTCATACCTCATAAGTATAATCAAAGTGCATATACTTGGGACCGATTATCTAAACATTTGAGAGGACACATTCATAATAATCTATCCTTAGACATTTCCCAGTTACAGGCTACTATTTCTAATACGCAGAATGCTCACTTACAATTACTCCCAGAAACTGATTTATTTGAAGAAATTGAGGAAAGCTTACATAAACTTAACCCCATAATGTGGATTAAAACTTTAGGAGGAGGATTGCTTGGTACTATAATATCAGGATATAAATTTTTAACTCTTTTGTGTCTAGTCCTCAGATGCATGAGAAAAACCATCTGAGAACTGATGAAAAAGGAAGTTGCTCGGACGGCATATCTACTCCTGCAAAAACAAAAAGCGGGAGATGTAGTGGGAATTCCTAATAATGTACTTTCACAGCCTTGAGAAATTCCACAGAAATAGCACCTGGAAAAATAGCATATAATAAGACACTGTGTTAATGATTATCTTTCATGTTTTTCTTAAGAATAATCTCCTTGTTACAAACCCCAAGGCCAGACCCAGAAGGGAATATGACTGGCATCATGAAAGCATAGACCTTAGAAACACTGGGTAGGTGTCAGGCATGAACACTGCCTACGCACTTGCTGATTGTTCCCAAGACAAGCCCAAAAGGGAACGGCCTGGGATAAAAACAAGGAGATCTGGACTATGTCAGTGTAGTGTCTTGGGAAAGATAAGATCAAAAATAGTCTTGTAGTCTGCAATTAGGAATAAAAGCTGGACTCAGAGTGGACTCTGCACCTCAGTCCCATAGAGGCTGCTTGTCCCCTGACCCATTGCACCAGATTTCATGTTCTGTCTTCATTCTTGTCGCTCACTCCCGGACCATTAGGACAACACAGCCCCAGAGATGATAGACAGTGTTTAGTAAATTCCACCCTCCATGGGACCATCCACTGCCTGAGTCATGCTCTAATACCTGGAATCAGCTTCAAGGCATTCTCCAGGTACTGATCTTCTGTGATAGGGTGACTGTTTAACTTCAGCTCCAGGGTGAAATCCCGAACAGCCCAGATAAAGTCTGGAAAGAAACTCACAAACTCTGCGGAATCTTCTACTCCATCAGGTCTTGGAGAGGACTTGGCCTGGATAAGTTCTGTGAGCTCGGTCACATAGCTAGGACTTGGTTAAAGAAAAGCAACTGCCTCCGCACAATTCCTACATTTCCCTAATTAAAAAGTATTATCATCACTCTCTTAGGCCCTGGGTCCCCTCTGCTCCACCAAAGGCAACTAAATGACAGGGAAGGAGAAATGACTCTATCATTTTCATCAAACTTGGTGAAACCTGGAGGTTCAGTTTCTGGAAGGATACTGCAGCTGTTCCAGGGCCTGGTGGTTGATGGTGCTCGTGCTATTGTAGACAAAGGTGCTACATAGAAGCACAGCCAGGGCAAAGATCCACGAGTCATTCTTAGGGTCACCCTAGAAATCACATTTCAACAAGAGGTTTAGGAGTTTACTCCTAAATTAAAAATTCAATCATCCATTGATTCTATCATGCTTTCATGTATTATTTCAGTTAACATACTCACCATGCATAGACACTATTTGAAGACAGACGTAAACACAGATATCAGCTTTGACAATTACAAAGACTTTTTTATGTTTTTTATTTTTTCATATATAAAGTGATTCTAATCTTCATAAGACTTTCGTTTCCCTCAATGGATTAAGGAAATAACATATACATAAAAACTAGTACAGTACTTGGTATGTAACTATGTATTCAATGATGAGTGTTAGTACTTCTTCGTTCTACACATATTTATTAATCATAGCTCATATAAAATCAACCAGAGTTGGCATAACTGGGTTTTTTAATTATATTCAATCAGTAAATATCTTCAAAAGTTACTCAATACTCTCCCACTGTTCTTAGATTTCAAAAAGCAATGTTAAAAATGACAATTATTCCTTTCAGGATGCCTATTTCAAATAAGTGACAAACATCCATAACAATAAAAGCCACAAAGATGACAGTACCTATAGAAAGCTGACATCTTAGTAATGTATATAAGCAGTGAAACTTATAGCTATAACATTAAATTAAAATTTATGTCTGTAAAGGAAGAACTGAGCTATGAAAGTTGGAGAAAGAATGTGACATGAAAGCTTCCTCGAAGTCTTGAACTGAGTATTAAAGAACTGATAAAATGTGGACTTCAAGAAATGAAGGTGACCCCATAGACAGAAGCACTCACAGAGGCAAAATTAGAGATGGGAGAATACTGGGGTCTTATAATTAAAATAGAGTTATTTCACTTGACTGGAGCAGAGGGTGAGTGGAGAAGTGAATATGAAGCTCTAGTGCAACCTGATGAAGGGCCTTAAAGGCCAGGCTAATTTGTTTGTATAAGTCATAGCATTTTCTAAATAGTAGCATAAATCTATATATTATTTCTACTGTAAAGAGTGTGTAAAGCTGCTGCCTAGAGCAAATGGAAAAACTGATTTATGTCAAGACAATTCTATATGAGAATTTGGGAGAAATAGTCTATTCATTTGGAGAAGGCAATGGCAACCCACTCCAGTACTCTTGCCTGGAAAATCCCATGGACGGAGGAGCCTGGTGGGCTGCAGTCCATAGGGTCTCGAAGAGTCGGACATGACTGAGCAACTTCATTTCACTTTTCACTTTCATGCATTGGAGAAGGAAATGGCAACCCACTCCAGTGTTCTTGCCTGGAGAATCCCAGGGATGGCAGAGCCTGGTGGGC